CACCAACAAGTTCAACTCCGACTTCATGTCCAGAGAAGTTATCAAGTAATAACAGTATCTTGCGATGCTTCATTTTCTCATTTAACCAGTCCAGGTATTCTTTCATAATTAGCCCTGTCATCCATTTTGTCTCGTTGTATCGATATTGTAAGGACAGAGGCACCCAGCTCACAGTAATAGCATATGAGAGTGTGAGTCGGAGGCTAAACGGATGCTATCCTATAGGTCTACTATGAAGGATACAAAAAAGATGAAGAGAGGAACCCCCGTTGGGTCAATCTCCTTAAGTACCCGAAATGGGTCCGACTCGGCTAACCTGCCTTAACTCTTAAGATGAAGGGGGGAACCCCGTGAGTCATTTCCCTCAAGTACCCAAAACCTCTCCGACTCGGTTAGCCCGCCCAAATGATCACACGTGACCTGCAGCTACTCAGAGTCTGCTCCTTGTCTGCTCCTTAGAGTGAGAGACGAGAGGACATCCTTACAGATATTGAATCCGCATGCGCTTAACATCAATATTTTTAAAACATCGAGGATTCTTTGACTTTCCCACAACCCATATATCTAGCTTCTCAGTTCCAGTCGAATTTGTCATAAATGCAAGAGTAATCCGATCTTTGGATTCTTTCCCCCACTTGAAGCTTCAGTGGCTAGCGTTCGAGTTGGCGTCATCTTCTAAAAGAGCCCAGTTTCATCCATGTTGAAAATATCTTTATCTGCATATGTTGCACATAGTTGTCAGAGATCTTCCATTTGCGCGATATTTGTAGGATTGTGAATGTCCGCTGCAGCTACTTCTCCATGTCGAACATATTCCTTAATCTTAAATCTCTTCTTGAATCCATCTAACCAGCCATTCGACCATTTCGGTTCATTCCTATGAATAGTATATTGTGGCAGACGGTCCCAAAGTTCGTGCGCCTTTGTTTTTAGAATGTCACTAGTGTAAGGATGCCTCCTTACCTAGATACTCGAAGAACCCGCCTCAGAGCTGTTACGGTCACCACAAGCATGAAATCTGACTCAGTGTGGTTTTGAACCAGTAGAGGAGCACATAGCGAGTTACACTATAGTGGGGGACGGTAAGGGTATAGGGTTCAGGGTCGATGCGGACCTGTTGCGGTGGAAGGTTCAGGGCTAGGGTTGGGATAACCGAGTCGGGCCCGGTTCGGGTACTTAAGGAAACAGACTTAACGGGGTTCCCCCTTCATCTTTTTTGTATCCTTCGTAGTAGACCTATAAGATAGCATCCGTTTAGCCTCCGACTCGCACTTTCATATGCTATTACTGTGAGCTGGGTGCCCTGTGTCCTTACAACTAGTAATGATCGCATTTTTCTTTTGCATGCATTGTTGCCAGTCGAAGAGAGCCATCTCGAGTTCAGGATACTCGCCATTACTTTTTCTCTTTGTGCCAAGTTCAGTCTTCTTCCGTGTATCTGAGTCGAGATATTGGTACTTCGTGGAAAGAATTGAGGACATTTGGCCTTGGCTAAGTTGGCGACCTTGAGCTTGAGCGGCATACCAGGCTATAAGTGCAGGCTGAGTGCACGGGTGGCTGGCATATCTGCATCAAATATATTGTCGCTGAACATTGGTGAGTGCGTGCCTTTTTTTTGGTTGCGAGGCCTCCATGGTGGAGTTGGTGAACACGAGTTATAAGGATTGTTTGGTATAAAAATAATTTTGGGACCACGGGTTTAAGGATCATCCTTATACAGAAATAATCCTTATTTTACAGCTAAAAAACTACGGGACCAGACTACCCATCCTTATACTGAGGATATCCTTATATTGAGGGATCCTTATATCCAGGTTCAACTGTATTGTATCCTGGTGTAGCTTGGAAATGTAGGAAATATGTGTTTACTCATCCCGGCTTTGCGGTGGTAAGTATTGAGAAACGATGCTTTTATATGCGTACGGAGAGCTAACCTAGAGCCTTGAGGAATGGAAGCAAGAGTGAGAAACACCGCTTTCAATCATGATAAGAAGTGTCAATTGAGTTATAACTATACCGCTGGCTCTATCTGTTGCTGATAAATGATACCAGCATGTCATTTAATACAATTTAATATTTTAACTATAATTTTGAGAAGCCACCGGATATAATTATACAATAACGTGGTTGTACACCGAGTTGTGAATGTCACCGAGTAGTGAATGTCACCGAGTCGTGAATGTCACCGAGTCGTGAAACTTTTTTATACCCACCACTGTAAGGTATAATTAAACAACCACAACATGTATTAAAACTAAAACTATTCAGAATCTGATGAGCTAAGTACTTCTATGACCTCCTGACAAGTTCGTGCATTATGGCCAGCCCCCCCGCAAGTGCCACAATGTCGTACACCTGGTTGCCCCTCATTCCTACCAACCCCTCCAGAGCGCTTCTCGCGATTTATTTGCTCCGTAACTGCCCTTTGGGACAAATCATCATGTGCATCCCCTACAGAAAGTGCACACCCTTGACGGACACGAGACTTTTTAGCCCTCCGGCGTTTGCTAAGAGCTTCGTTTGCTGCTCGAAGGGTGCGGACTTCAGCTGACAATAAAGTCATTTCATGTGCCAAAATCTCTGTCCCTTTAGCTAATGCAGTAACAGTAGCAAAAATGGGGGTTGGCGAGCTTCCTTGGTGCCATGCAATGCGATTTTTAACTAGAGTAGTCTGTGAGAGAGCATCTATTGGGTTGCGAGGCGTTTGAGAAACCCAAGGATCAGCGTCTATAGAGGGGGGTCCTGTAGGTGTAGGAGTCTGCAACTTGACGTCTAGCTTTGAAATGATTACTTGCGGATCAAAGGGCACTAAACCAGCTCCGCGAAATCCAGCTTTGGCGTTTTGAGTTGTTATTGACTGGTTATAAGCTGCGTGGAAAGCTATAAAAAACTCAACCTTTGTAATATGGTTTATATGAGCCTTAATAAAGGTCTCAATTTGACGCCCATACATGCGTTTAAGAACACTAAAGCACCCAACATCAAGTGGCTGAGTTAGGTGAGACGAGTGAGGAGGTAGACAGAGAGTTATGATGTTGTTTGCTTTGCAATATTCCTGAAACGCAGCTGATTCGTGACTTTCATGCCCGTCTAAAACCAACATCCGATATGGTCCTTTTGCACGACTGCAAGTATGTTTATCGAAGTGATGAAGCCATTCTAGACCTGTCTCGTTGTTGGTCCATCCATTGCTTGTTGGTTTAATTACCCAATTGTGAGGAAGGCCGCCTTCAGTATACCAACTTGAAAGGTGACATTTCCCTTGAACTACTAAAAACGGAGGGATACTCCCGCCTTCAGCATTCACACAAACAATTGCTGTACCCATTCCCGATTGCCAGGCTGAACTGCCTTGCCTCTGCCATCGGCGCGCGTAATAACTAAAGCTGAGCTAATAACGCCCATCATGAAGCCCGTCTCGTCAAAGTTGTAGAAATCGCAGTCTTGGATGCCGTACTTTGCTCTCATGTTCTGCACAAGTTGAAACCATGCTCCAATAAGCTCAGGATCTTCGCACAAGGCTCTTTGAAAGAAATAAACGCGATTAAAACACGTCTTTAACTCGGGGTGGCGTTGTATAAATCGATATGCCCACCGCGTCCCAACGTGCTTTCCCCCATGCGATTCAAGGATATAATTTGCCATATCCTCCACACTAGCAGGCCGAGGCGCAAATCCTCTTGCATCCATATCCAATATATTTCGAATAATCACTTCCTCTTCTAGCTCAGTCAATTTAAGACTATTGGCTTTGGTTTCGCGTCGAGAAGGTCGGCCGGCCATTCTATCAGTAAGCGTAGAATAAGGCACTTTATATAGTATTGATGCAGACCTGCGATTAAGCGATTTACATGTTTGAAGAGCCTCAATAGCTAGAATGATTCGCGCTTCTTGGGTTTGGATTTCCATTGGTAGTTGTGGAGGAAACGCGTGTTGAAGTTCGTAGGTAGCTAAGTAGGGAAAAGTTCACGACTCGGTGACATTCACGACTCGGTGTACAACCACGTTATATCTCGCAAGTTAACTTAATTGTAAGAATTTATTTTATTTATAGTTTCTGCGAATAATATTCTATCAACACGCATATGCCTACGCCTCCAACCCGGGAGGATTACTCTGTAGGCTATTTTCCGTCTTTATATCCTCATACATTTATTTGGCTATTCAAGGATTTACTCGGTGAAGCAAGGGATTAGGACAGATTCAGAACGTCACAACCGCCACGCCCTTCACGCCCCGCGTCTAAGTGAGGTATTAGTAAAGAAATTAGAGATTAAGTATGACTCCGATGCTTCATCTTTAGTCTCTCGTCTTATCCGGGAAGAAATCGTATCTAACATGAGTTCGTGGGCGCTCGTATTCTCATTTCCATCAGGTTTGGCTGCGATATCGGTTGTGCGGTTGTCGACGGTGTTTGAATATGAGTCATCTGGCTTTTACTATATTAACCAACTATTCTGTCGGACCCAGATGCACTTGCAATACCCAATGAGCCAACATCTCACGTCAATTTAGGGGGCTCCCCTGCGTGGACATTATACCACTTGAAAAGAGTCAGCTGGATTGGAACGGCCTTCAAAAGTTTGAAAACTGCCCTGAGAGTGACAAGAACTCGGTGGTAATGAGAATGGGGAATCGAGAAAGGAGCGGTGATAAGACATGGGCAGATTTCGATGCGCAGAATGCGGTAGCAACGCAGGTTGTGCACGATTGAGGGATACACTCAAGAGATACTGTGAGTTTATATGATCTGGAGTCTGATTTTTCAAGGACCCGGAACATTACGTTTAGTGGCGGTGTCTTAGTGTTTAGAGAGCCGCATATCAAGACAGCTACTGCTAATGTTCGGCCTCTAATTGAAACGTATGCAGCAAAAAACGGAAGGAGCCATTTGCCCCTTAAGATGTCTGCATGGGGCAGGGACAAGTGCGGGGGATGCGTCGGCACCGGTTATAGGAGTGCAAAGGAAACCCGGAGCTAAAAAAGGGACTGCAATTGAGGCCCTTATAGTAGCCCCACCGATTTGCACGATCGGAGAAGCAACTCTCTATAACATCTAGACTGATCTACATGCGAGGAAGTCCCAGCCTGATACCTCGTTCCCATAGCTCATAAACGTCGCGCCTACTATGCACGCTTAAATCGCATATGGGACAACAATGCAGCCTCGCAAACAACCTGGGGTTGATGAGGATAAAGAATCCCAGACCATGAGTCATCCACCTGCTCTAGTTGTAGAGGATGAGGTGGATGAGTTGGTGCATCCTGTCGCAAAAGCACGGCGGCGGATTCAGGATGGCATCCTCCACGAGAACCCGGCATTGACAGCAGAACTACCCCTAGCGAGAAAGAACTGGTGAGAACGAAGCGGTGATGAGAACCCCAGAGTGACAGCAGAACCCCCGCCACCGATCGGTGTGCTCAACATAGGAAGCCATAAACATTACCAGCGCAAAAACAATGAAGATCGCCAAAGCGTCATTCTGAACAACTTTCTGCTATTTCGTAAATTTCCCCGCGCTAGTTGCAGCGCCCTGTCTCGTTTATCTCTGCTTGGGAGAGAATGAGGCGGCGACTAGATAATTAACATGCGCATCCCCAAAATTTCGCACAACACGAGTAATCTTACAACAACAAGAGTATCATCTTGAACCAGCCAAGATGAACCAAACGCCACCTCACAACACACCCTCGTCGTGATTCTCCACGAACCATGGATGCTCTAGGGCCTGCGCCGCCGTGATCCCCCTCGCCGGATCCAAAACCGTCATCCTACAGACCAGATCACGGAACTCCGCGTCAACAAAAAGCCACGTCGCAAACGGCTCCCTGGGTTTCGTTGCGTTAAAGCTGCCCGCGAGAGTGATAAGATGCTCGAAGGAAGGGTTATCCTCGCCGATCCATTGTAACAGGCCTTGAAAGCCTTCTTCCTCGCCGAAGAAGGATATATGGCGTCTGAGGATATAGCGCCAAGTGTCACTGGCGGCTAGCTCGGAGTCGCTGATGCGAAAAACCATGTTGTTTAGCATCACGAAGATACACTGGATGATGCGTGAGCTCTTTTCAGGAAAGTCTGATGGGAGGTATGGATATACGCACCACGACCCCGAAGGAGAAGACGCAGATGGAGTGCCTTGGGCGGCGCGGGCAGGACTCGGGACTACCCCACAACTGGTTGCGCAGAGCCCTTCCCTTAGGTATTTCCCAGGGGGGAGAATGACCGCATCCTCGAGATGCGAGATCTGCACCCTAGTAACAGTGAAAGTCTCATTTGTCTTTTCATAATCCAAGAGGATATTGTTCGGCTTTATATCTAACGGCTCTGGTTAGCTTATGAATATAGTTGATCACGTTCCATAGTGGAATGCTGCTACAGCGCCTCGAGACTGGACATGGAGATATGCGGCTATGCGGCACCCACCTGTGTGAATGATGTTCCTCTCATGAAGCAGACCAGCAAGAGCACTTTTCAGCATGCCCTTCCTCGTCGCCACAGATAAGACCTTCTGGCTGAACTGGAGAAAGTTGGTTTCTAAAAAAGGGTAGAACAACTACTCAGGGCCGGGAAGGCCATCTACCACGGTTCGCAAGTTGGGACATGAGGCAAGAGGCTTCTGAATACCCTGTTGATACTCGTATTCTCCTGGTATCATATTTTTGACAATGAAGTTCTGTCCTTCAGCACTTGTTATTGTTAACACTGTGCCACTGCCCCTGATCACGGGATTTGGGTCATACCTGGCACGGTAGACGCATAGCAATGGATCCCGCCGTTCAGCAAGCACCTCTTGTATAATGTAGGTACGCCCTGACTGGCCACATAGCGTTGCGCCTTGTGTGAAAGGCTCCTTGGCCTTGGGATATCAGATGATACGACTCGACGTGAAGACGGGACATGATGCTGCGAATGCCAATTCCCGAGTATCAGAATGGCCCATGGGGAAGCGCGTGCAATTATTCGACGCGTACAAAAAGTAGTTACGGGTGCAAGAGTACGAACGCCGTAATATGTGACAAACAGACTAGGGTAATGAGAGTAAATTAAAAAGAAATACTGTCCAGGGCTCTATATAATATTTAGAGTTACTCAAGCATTATTATCCAAGAAGAATGGCTGTCGTGACATATTCCAGTGCTAACAGGCTTATGGGATAAGTTCGTCGTCACTGCTCGAGTTTAGGTTTCCCCACCCAAAAGATATTCCGGGCCGCTCTTGGTGGGGTAGTAGAGACCGCAAATTCTTTTGCCCTGAACTCGTCACGATTGGCGACCCGACGACGACGTGCGCAAAAACATTCGGATAGCGATACACGCAACCTACCGAGCTTCAAGTCGAGAAGCAACACTGTATGTAACGTTCTGTGTGCCCAGTTACTGTTCACTGTTGTCGCGCCCACAGTTACCCTCATATGGATTAACTGACATATTTGACGCTTCAGATTTTTGCCTTTTTTCCGACCTTGGCAGTGCGCAACGACCTTGGACACCGTACCAGCCATATGCGCTGAATATATATCTATACCCGAAATCAAATCACCTAGAGCTCAAAGTGAGCTTTACCTCAACATCAGAGCCAACCCAGCCACGTCTTGCCTGGCGGTTGACTGAGCTTGTATTACGACTTTACCCCGCCATCAAGTGCGCCCGTTCTATGAGCACCAGGGTCCTCCTGCGATTCCTTTCCAAGCCCGCAATGTATGTTATAGCTTCATTTCCCAATATACAGTACTGCTCCATGCTGGTCATACTGGATGCGGCGCTGCGACTGCTGCCGTTAGCGCCCGAGCAGTCGAGACATCAGAATCAGACGCTGTCTATTATCGCGTGCCTCACGGCATCTGCGTACAAGACCCTTTAGATATGGAGAGATTGCTAACATATTATACACAGGCCTAGATAACGCAAGCCAGACCCCAATTTGAACAGCACAACTTCATTTTAGAAGCTGTTCTGATAGACCCGATACTCCAACCCAGTATCGGACTACAGAACTAGCGGCGCAACCAGCGACCATTCCATCCTCAATACTCTGCCACATTGCTGAGTGCACACGCCCTCCTTAACGTCTATTCAGGAGACGTTTTTACCAATACCCACTGCTGCTGGCTCCGCCAGCACTCACTCGATACCCACGGTTCTGTGGGCCTATACTACTCAAGCGGACACCGCAGGGTTCGTTTGAGCGGTAGATAGTGCTCCACAGTGCTTGTTCAGCACATAATATCCTATCACCCAGTTCGATCTTGCTAAGAGCCTGTCGGTTCCAACACACAGCGGCGATGGTAGATATTACTAGCCCACCCACCAACACAATTGCAGTATCGGAAGGTACACCGCAACTCACCATCAATCATGAAGCTGTTGTCGATCTAGACTCTAGCAATGCCTTTGAAGGTCCAGAAAAGTTGTTAGAAGTCTGGTTTGCTCCTTCAGCGGACACGCTTCCGCCAGGAGCACACAGGGATGGGTTGAAAGCTGTGTCAGCGGAAGTATGGAAGGAGATGCTCGATGTTGTGAACTGCAAGGTTCTCTCAATCGTCGAATCCGACCATGTCGATGCATACCTCCTTTCCGAGTCGAGCATGTTCGTGTTCAGCCACAAGCTCATCCTGAAGACATGCGGCACCACAACCCTCCTCTGGGGGCTCCCACACATCTTGGATATTGCCGCTGCCAAAGCCGGATTGGCCCACCACCGCGGCAGCAACGTCAAGGGAACAGAGACGGCGGCAACGCCCTACCGTGTGTTCTACAGCCGGAAGAACTTCCTATTCCCAGATCGCCAGCGCGGACCCCACCGCAGCTGGAACGACGAGGTCACGTACCTCGACAAGATGTTCTGGGGTGGAAGCGCATACATGGTCGGCAAGATGAACGGGGACCACTGGTACCTCTACCTCACGAGCCCCAACACCGACATCACCCCACCCCAGACTCCCGAATCTGAAAAGCCAACGGAGACGAAAGTCCTCACCCTTCCCGGTAAAGAAACCCCCCACCCCAACAACGCCACCGGCAACGACGAGACCCTCGAAGTCCTAATGACGGACCTCGACGTCGAGAAAGCCAAACAATTCTACCTCAACAACGCCAGCGCCCTCGCCGAGAGCAACTTCTACCAACAGCAAAAACTCACCAACCAAGAGAGCACCCCCGACGCCCTCCCCATCCCCTCGGAACTCACAACCGAAGGCCACGCCCTCGGCACCGTCGTCTCCGAGTCCTGCGGTCTCTCAGCTCTCTACCCCCCCTCCCGCTACCCCGACGCCCGCGTCGACGCTTACCTCTTCACCCCCTGCGGCTTCTCCGCCAACGGTGTCATTCCCGCGCCCGACGCGTCCGGTGTGGGACCTGCGACGCATTACTTCACTGTACACGTGACGCCGGAGCCACAGTGCTCGTATGCGAGCTTCGAGACGAATGTGCCGGGGCAGCAGACGGGCGGGGAGACGGCAGAGGTGATTGAGCATGTTGTTGGGATTTTTGCGCCGGGGAGGTTTAGTGTTACGCTGTTTGAGGGGAAGGTGTGTGTGGAGGATTTGAAGGCTTTGGATGAGAGGGTTGAGGGGGGTGTTGCTGCGGCGGGGAGTGGGAATGGGGCTGTGAATGGCGAGGTGAAGGGGAAGAGGAGGGGGAGGATGGATGCGATTAGAGGGTATAGAAGGGTGGAGAGGATTGTGCATGAGTTTGATGGGTATGATCTCGTCTTCCACTACTACGAGAGGGATGATTGGAAAGGGGGCGCCCCGGTGGTGGGGGAGGTGATGTAGGTGGAATAGGCGGGCAGGAGCGTCTACGTAGGAGAGCTGGACACGTCGTCCAGGCTGGAGATGGGCGGATTCGGCGTTTACGCTGATCCTCAAGAGGTGCTGGGAGCATTTTTTTTTAGTTTTTTAGAAAAGAAAACAACAAAACAAAACAAAAAAAAAAAAAAAAAAAAAAAGGTGGAGGAAGATGGAGGGGGGGTTACCAACTCGTGGTTCGTAGCATTCGTAGTGGTCAGTGTTCAGTGTTCCCCAAAATAGTATTAGTATTTGTGGTTTTCGAATAGTATTCGGCGATGAGCAGTATTCGGGCTAAAATTGGGGTATTCGGCGAGTACAGTACTAGACCACTGCTATTAACCGAATTCCAATTTGACGCGTAAATCGCGTCGCGTAACCCACCCCTCCTTGTACAACAACCATAATTATGCCACCAACTCGGAGGGCTTTGGCTCCAATTGATGGGAATCGACAGCCTGGTGGCCAATTAAGCCCATACCAACGCGGGCAGATTATTGGGAGGCAGTCAGAGGGTGCAACACCTACTAAGATTGCACACGACCTAAACCTTGACTGAAGCACCGTACGATATACAATTGCAGTTGACTCAATACGCACCGAAGGCAAGAGCCTACCCCGTACACCACGGGGAAAGTCATATACAGAAGCAGAGCAACGCCTTATACTCCGCCATGTATGCCTAAACCCAAAGGATACATACCAAGAAGTAAAGGATGCTTGTAATGTTGCTTGCTCAACATCAACTATAAAGAGGATACTACAAGAAGCAGGCATAGGCAATTGGCGTGCAAAGTGTCGCCCTTTCCTACTGCCAATACATGCAGCTAAACGGCTTGCATGGTGTTTAGCACGGAGGAATTGGACAGCAGAGGATTGGGGTCAAGTTGTGTGGAGTGATGAGTGCTCTGTTGAGCGGGGGCGGGGTAACAGGAGCGAGTGGTGTTTCTGCACACCTGCTCAGAAGTGGCAGCGGGAGATGATCCAAACCTACAGTACAAAGAAGAACATGAAGAAAATGGTTTGGGGGGCAGAAGGCCAGAGCAATTTATACCTTATGAACTGTAACTTTGAGTCAAAGAAGTTTGGATATACTGCAAACTCATACCTTGAGATTCTAGAAGCAGAACTCCTCCCTATTTTTGAGAGTCTTGACTCTAGCTACTCATTTATGCAAGATAATGCTCCTATCCATACTGCGGGTATGGTTACAGACTTTCTTGAGGAGCATATGATTACTACACTCTATGGGTGGCCGCCCTACTCACCCGACCTCAACCCAATTGATCACATTTGGTGGCACTTGAAAACCCGGGTGTGTGAGATGTTCCCTGAAATTGCAAAGGATAAATCAAACTCAGAACATGCAAGACAGCGTCTAGAATCATGTTTGCAAGCAGCATGGGACACATTAGTCAAGTCATTGTTTGATAAATTGTATAAGAGTATGCCGAGTAGAATTGAGGCGTGCATTCAAGCAGACGGGTGGCATACAAAATCTAGAATACTCATTTTTTATACTATATACTATAGGGGCTTATTTTGTATAGCTGTCAATTCTAATTACAATGGATCAATTTTTACATCTATCGCTCTAAAATTGCATATGTTACGAGCAAATTAATTATCTACGTTCGGTGGCTTCGTGGGTGGTTTTGCGATTCGGTTAATAGCAGTGGTCGGTGACTGTATTTGCCAAAGACTCGAATACTATTCGAGTCCTTGGCAAGCACGGCCCAGGATGCCAAGCTATGAAGATTTTACCCCGCCCTCATAGATAGATCCGTAGAAATAGATCCATAGATAATATACCAATTGATATTTCTACCAGAATGAGCGGCTCTGAGCTATCTGCAATTCCAAGTGATGAAGATGAGGGAATTCAGCTGCTACCACCCCCTTTTCCATTCGAGTCTTCGCCGTCGATAGCTCTACCATTACTACAAATACGGCCACAACTACCAAATACTCAGTCACCATTGTTCTTAAAGAATGTATTCAGTAGAACATTGTTAAGCACCAGCCCTGCAACGATGAAGATTGTCTGTATGCAAGATGGCTGTAATTATAAGCCACAACCGAAGCTTTTATCATGGAATATCACGAGTAATTTGTGGAGGCATGTGTTACGATATCAAGTGCGCCTTGCAGCTCGAGTGGGGGTTCAGGGGTGTGGGGAGCTTTCCGGGGTTGGAGCGAAGTTTTCAGTTGTGGAGTGAATTCTCAGAACTGGTCTCGCTAAAGAGAATTCACTCCACAACAACATAGCTGTATATAGATCGAGCCACTGCTCGAGTGCTCCTCTTCTCTTTCCTTTCTTCTCTAGATTGAGTTTAATTCATAATACCCAACTGGCGCCCTATGCCTTGGTGAACCGTGACAGCATGTTGAAAGCATGCATCCTGCATTATACAAAGCTATAAAACCAGGAACTCCATTGCTACAGCATGCTCAGAGTTTGCAGGATTCGCAGGGCGCTCCGAATATGAGAACAGCCCGAAACGCCCAACAATTCTTTACTCCTCGAGTAGGACGATCCGTTCTTGCCTCTCGATATAGAGAGTTATTACTTGCATTTATTGTATCTAATAACTTACCAATGAGTCTGGTTGATCGGCCTTCATTTCGTCAGCTTATTCACCAGCTTAGCCCTTCAACATTAGCTATATCAACGAGCTCCTTAATGCGCGATTTACACAAGATATTCTGCAACCACCGTATGAAGCTACAGATAGAACTCCAGGCTCATATAATAAAGGGTGGACGGTTATCACTTACGACTGATTCATGGTCTGCAATGAATGGTGCAGAGCACGCTGCGATAACTGTTCATTGGATAAATAATGAATGGGTTTACCGGCACTGTGTTCTTGATATCATACATCTAAAGGAGCCCATTCATTCTGGTGAATATCTTGCAGAGCAGCTTCAAGCTGTTACAGACGACTTTGGTATTACGAACAGAGTCTTTACAATTACTAGAGACAATGCATCGAACAATACAGCAATGCTCGCAGAGTTTGAAATAGGGGCATGCACGAGCGTCGTTTCTATACAGCAACCATGGAGCTTTACAGTAAAGAAAGGCGATGTCCGATGCATGGCACACATTATAAACCTTGCGGTTCAAGCAGCTTTAACTATGTTAAAAGCTGTACCATCAGAACAAACGGAACTGTATAGGCTTAAGCAAGGCTTAGCTCATACTCAAGGCTTCGTTCTTAATAAAGAAGAAGTGGCAACGGTTCTTATAAGACTACGCTGGCATATCTATGTCTTCCGGAACCGTCGAGCATGGAAAGATGCATTGAAAGTACAAGCATCTGCTATGGGTATTCAGGTGGTTTCAATGTCCCTCGATATGCCTGTACGATGGAACTCAACATATTATATGCTTCAGAACACTTTGAAGCTTGAGCAGCCGATCAATGCTTTATGTGCTTCGCAAACGATGGATTTAAGTATGCGTGATATTATCATTACATCAATAGAATGGCAAGTGTTACATGGACTAAAGGCGTTCTTTAAGATATTCGTCAAACCAGCAGAGCAAGTTCAAGCAGATAATTATCCAACGTTGAACATCTGTATTCCACACTATCTACGGCTTTTAAATAAGCTTAAGGCAATGGAAAACGCTCCATCGACAACAGCAGCAATCAGCGCAGCTTGTAAAGCGTCGTATAATAAGCTTGATACTTATTATAACCTTGTGACAAATCAAGGCTCAAGCCACTCGTCAATTGCTACTATCTGCGACCCAAGATTCAACTTAAGTATATATGAATTTTATATGCCAAATAGTGTAGACGCTGTAAAACGAGATAGGGCAAGAGCACAGTTCGCAGCTTACTATAACTGGTATAAAGACCATGAGAACGATATACAGGTTGCTGCTATTGAAGCTACTATTGCTGCTGAAACTGAGCAGCTGACGACTCTAAGAGAACTTGATTCCGACGAGAAGATGTATCAGCATCATGGGCCTTCTATTGAGGAAGTTGAGTGGCGACGATGGTTCAAAGAGAATGGTGTCGACCGTAATACTAATATCCTCAAATATTGGCAGGCAAAGCAGTATCAGTATCCAGTTATATCATGGATCGCACGGGACTATTTGGCAATTCCAGCCTCATCGGCAGCGTCAGAGGGTATATTTAGTGTTGGCGGTGATATAGTCACAAAGAAAAGGAACAGGTTATTACCTTCAACTCTTCGATATCTACTCTGCCTATGGGATTGGGGGGTTATAGGCGATGAGGAGAAGGATAATAGCGATTAGACAGTTATCATATTTCATTACTATATAACGTAACGTATGGGGTAGTCGGACATATGGGGTAGTCGGACAAAAATGCCCGACTACCAACTCAGAACCTTCATACCTTCCACCATGAACATCCCACAACCATACAGTCGTGCTCAGGTTGAAGACAACATCCAAAAGGCTGTCATTGCGCTCCAATTGAAGGAATTCAAACCAATTAGACTTGCTGCAGACCACTTCGAAGTTCCTAAGGCAACTCTTGCTGATAGGATGTCTGGGAAGAAAACACGTGCTGTAGCTCACGAAATTGAACAAGCTCTCTCGAATGCAGAAGAAAATACACTAGCACGATGGATTACACGTCTCACTGCCACGGGTTTTCCTGCAACTCCTATGTTGATCAAGGAAATGGCTGAAGAAATTCGCGTACGACGCGTCCAAATCGCGTCTTCTCAAACCACTCTTCAGACCAATCCTACCCCCTAGGCCATGAATGGATCTATAGATTCTTAAAACGACATCCAAACTTTAAAGGAGTCTACTCAAGACAACTAGAGTCTGCATGACATAAAGAAGCCACTCCTATAAAGATTTCAGCTTGGTTTGACGCGTTTAAAGCACGAATTGAAGAGCGAAAGTACAAGCCATGCAACATCTATAATATGGATGAGACAGGTTTTGTAGTTGGAGAGACTCAATCCACGTGAATAATTGTTGATTCTACCTTGAAATCCAATTGGCAAGGTCACAGCTGGGAAGTAGGAGTGGATAACTGTACTTGAATGCATTGATGCAGACGGTGGTGCTTTACCACCTATGATTATATTCAAGGCTAAGAATACCAATTCAAGTTGGATTCCAAAGGATACCC